TTTCCCAAAATTAGAACTTCAATTGACAATTGTTGTTTTGTTCCAGTTTGCATTGATCCATATAATGTACCATTTAGTATTTACATATCGACTATAATCGAGTGCAAATGTTTACGAATACATATGTTAATTATTAAGCAGCTGTTAATAGCGTGCGTGTGAAATTAACATTTATCCATACAAGGATTTGTTATTTTATTATATATTCTACCACCTCAAACTCAAGTTATAGGCATATAGCAAATACTGTAGTTTAGAATAATGTGTGTTTACTTTGATGCACAGTTAAAATAATCAGTAAAATTATTTTATTTTGATACACTATTGTCTATTGATCTTATTATATTTCACAAGTACTAGTACCCAAAAATACAGCATTGAGATATGTTGGCCCAGTGCTATGAGGTGTGATATCCGCCAAAATTCATTTATTGAATCATGCTATTCAAAATTGCATTTATTGCATTTTGTTGTGCAATTATGCAATGCCTACTTGCAATTATGGCGAATTTCATTCGGAGTGAAAATTCATTCGGCTTGCGATTTCATTCGCCGTGCAATTTCATTCGGAGTGAATTAAATATTTGTGAAATTTCATTCGGCTTGAAATTTCATTCGGCTTGAAATTTCATTCGGCGTGGCACTCAGAAACCAAAATTTGACAACCGGAAGCGAGAGCCTTATTTGGGCAAAACGCGCGAAAATGGTAATTCCAATATGGCCGAGGGTGAAGGCTTTGATCGTCGGCGAGCAGTTTCCTTATTGCAGGAGGCAACAAGGTTGATTGGAGAATATTCTGGCTCATCAGATACGTCAACAACCCAATTTTTAAACAGTGAGCCTATTCAAAACGCGATATCCCAAGGCCAACAACAGCATCATCAACGAACGGACAATATAAACCAAAGGCAAAACATATCAGGTAGTACCGAAAGTAATACAAGTTCAACCCCTTCGCCATTGCTGGTCAACAGTGTTAGGGAATGATCGCTAGGTAATTTTAGAGATCTTTTTGCTCCTTATGGAAGCAGTAACCGAAGAAGTCTCAGTTCCTCACACCAATCAGCTCATCCACCAAGTAAGCGAAAGAAACAAAATGCTGTTCCGAAATTTAAAGTGTGTGAAACGTGGACACACACATTTTTTTGCTTGGCCAATCGCGAGCAAATTGTGGCTCCCAGTATAGCTCTCAAGACACGCTTACAACAAGCTGGCTTAGGCCGGAAAAAGATTTGTTTTAACTGGAAAGCGACTGCGGCAGAAGTGAAAACAAAGCTGGAAGAGATTTATCCAAAGTTAGAAAATGGCGGAGGCTTTGAAATTATGAGGCGTGGTCCACAAGCCAATGAGTTGATGGTCATACAGCCACCACGCAGTGGATACAGCGTACCATATCTAAGGGATTCAGCAGGGTTGGGGCAAGCCATTGCCTTCATTCGGCCAATACAAACTAACTTAGGCATGGAACCTGAAGCACTTATGGACAGTTCTGAGGTACTGTGAACGCTTAACAAAATTCATAAAACATTTTTGCGATTGTTTCTATCAGAAATCCTTAATCTCATATCCCCAACCTTAAAACCATTGTAAGCACCCCTTGAGCAAAACATTGTAAGCATGGCTTGAGCAAAACATTGCACCCCTTTTTCTCCTTAGGTTGTTTTTTATGACACAACATTATATATGTATAATTCAAATTTTGATACAATATACAGGTATCAGTTGAAAGCCAACATTTACATGGAGAGAATTTCTAAGGAGGGTCTTTTGCAAACGATTAATATCACTGTTCTAAAGTACACGAAGTAAGTCAGTTTTTAGATTTTTAAAGTATACAAATATATATTTTAGGATACTGGTTCTGTTCCTTTGGTAAAGTGTATGAATTGTGAGGTTGAAGTATTGATTACTGAGATCAGGGAACATCAGCAAATTTGTTGCAGAGATGATGAACTGTGAGTATAATGAATGGTTAGAGAAGCCCTATCTTCTGTAAAAGGAAGCTTTTTTTCAGAATATATATTAAATGCCCATGCAGGGGCAGGATCATTATGGCCTACCATTCTTCTCATCTAACCTATGAATGCATCAACAATAGTATGTGGTAGATAAATTGAATGAGATGTTAACCTTATAACTTTTCAGAAGAGTGCATTGATGGGTTAAATATGGCCTCTCAGCCATTGGCAGGATGCTTGTATAGTTTTTTCCAGCTTGAGGTTTCCATAACTTCATTAAAATTTATGTCCTGAACAGTGGCGTAGCCAGCCCGACAATTTAGTCCCACTATGCAAATTCAAAATTATTATCATTATTAATTTCTTTAGAAATTGATTGTTTTCACAGTCAATGAACATGGAAATATTTGCATAGCGGGACCAAAGAGTCGGGCTGGCTATGCTACTGGTCCTGAAGTTATTAGAGATGCCTCTGAGCTGGAAAAGAGTGACTGATATGAGTTTTTTTTAAAAAAAGTTTATAATAATAATAATTTATTTAAAACTGATTTTGTAACCAATAGGTTAAATAACATCAGAAATTTACGAAATGGTTCCGATAATTCTCTTAAATACAGGAGTTACCCAAGGTTTGTCATTGTCATGTAATTTGACAGTTTTTATTGGAAGGAAACAATCCAATTCGGCATTTATGATGTCTTGGAAGAGGTCTAATTTTTGTTCACAAGAAATAGTGCGGCATAAAATGTTCCAATTAAAATCGGTTAACCACTTTCCAAAAGCAGTTTTTGCAGCATTATTTCCCTGTCTGATTTTTACTTTCGTGTGGGCGTTTTTAGTTGAACCTTCCTTATATGAGCATAACACTGAATTGTGGTCGCTGCGCCCAACGGGTGGGATTACCAAGGGGATGTTACAAAAGTCTGACATGTTTGTCAAAATTAAATCCAAAATAGCATTCCCTCTCGTAGGTTGTTTAACAATCTGTTTTAAAGTAAAATGTCTGAGTATTGTGGAAACTGGACATTTGTTAAAATCCCCAACTAATATTATGCCAGCATTTGGGTACATGGAGAGGGCAACATCAAGCTTTATGGTAAGGTGTTCGATTAGTGTGTTGTTGTCGCTGGATGGTGGGTGGTAAACCACACAGACAACCAAACATGAGAATCCTCGGAACAGTTTGTGAGGTCTCAGGTAAAGCCACAGAGTTTCGAAACAAACATCTTGCAAACAAGTTAGAATTTTAAAGGGGATCTGTGACTTTATATAAGCACACACCCCTCCTCCAGTCCTAGATTTTCTATCACGACGTATCAAGGAGTAGCCATGTATTTGGACTGCGGCGTTGTCAATGTTTTCATTTAGCCATGTTTCTGTGATAAAAGCTAAACTGGCATGATTTAATTTAAGAATAGCATCTAATTCATCAACTTTCGGCAGAAGTGATCTGACATTTGAAAGGAAAAATGATAGTGGGTATCTTTGGGCATTTGGGCAACCTAGTCTCCAATTTTTATGGTTCAATATAGGAATTTTTATCAAATTTTCCGTGGTTACGAACCTTTCGTTTGTGTATGCAGGGGTACTGTTTAAACGATTATGTAAGTTAATTTGCCGTCTAGTTGTCCAAACCGGGATATTATTTGTTCTAGGTATTTGATCAGCTACGGGGTCAGTATATGAAATGCTTTGTCGGTCGGTTTTGTATTGCACTTATAACATGAATCTTTTGTTCATCTCAATTTCATGTTTGCAACCATTTTGTGACAGTGCATGGCAAGATATAACATTTTCTTTTGTGTTAAATTCAGATCAGAAATCGTACCAGGTCCAGATGGAGATCATGATAAAACTGATGTCTGCTTACATCCAAGTGAACATGTACCTGTATGTGCTATATAATGTAGATATTACCAGTATAGATGCTTTAATGTCTTTAATATATGATAGCCTAAGTTGCAAGCTACTTATTTAGTGACACACTTTATTTAATCTCAGGAACTAGAATGTGATGTTCACACTGTTGAATGTGATGATTGTCATGAACGATTCCCTGCCCAAGAAGCCATGGAGCATAACAACACTTGTCGTGGTGGGACTTCTGGAATTTCTGAAAGAAGGTACTGCTTGAGCAGTAAAACAATGAAGAGTGCATAAAGTCTATTAAATAAGTTAACTATGGTCCAGCTATTGTTTAACTATGTGTAATATATGCACTATGCACATGAATTAAGCCTCATAAATCTCAATACCCCTGACATTTGCCGTAATATGCTTAGAAGCAAATTGTTTTCATTTGGGTTAGTGAATTTCATTTTTTCACTTTGTATTTACTTTTTGCATATAGTAACAGTGCTGGTAGAATAACACATTATTTTGAGGCAACTTCAACACATGTACCTGACACTTCAGATGCTGGTAAGTTTCCTGGCTTTTGAATTTATTGCATGGTTTAGCCGGCAAATTACTAAAGGCCCTGTCACACTATTGCGTATCGTACTAGCGTATGTCAGCGTATGAAAAATATCACTCATACGCAGGTATACGCTGACATACGCTAGGGGTACGTTAGGCATAGGTTGTATACGTTTCAAGCACGGTCGCGTACGGTGGCATACGGCGCGGCAAAAAATTTTTTAAGCATGCTCAAAAATTTTGTGCGTATCGGATGAATGCTTTATACGATAAGCATACTCTAGGCACACGCTGAATACACTAGAGTTACGCCAGATGTACGGTACTCATACGCTGGCATTTCAAAGGATTTTGGTGCGTATGAAAATTATTTCATTAATTTTCATACGCTTCTCCTACGTTTCTCTCATACGCAATAGTGTGACAGGGCCTTAACAGAACAATGCACCCTTTCGATAACTACGTTATTTGGCCCGGGAGCCTCGCTCTTGTGAATCGTCAGCCAATCGTCTTGTGTCTTCTACTAATGCGAGCAATGCTCCCAGGCCAAAAGAGCATTAGTGACGTAATTATTGAAAGGGTGTATAGGAACACATGTTCTCACATTGTACTTATCTAAACTTCCGTATAACTCTGTCAGTTTTGTATTATGCAGCTGTTAACAGTATCAAAATTATCCTACCATCAATGTCAGCATCAAAGATTTCGACAGCATTGGATGTCTCGAATGGAAATCTTCAAGAAGCAGTTGAACTACTACTGTTGGGTGATGAAGATGGTTAGTATGATCACAGAAATGTACTATTAATACTGTACTACAAAGAAAGGGCACAATGGTATTTATAATACAGAAATGCTATATTTTAGCACATTAGTCATAAGATTGCAACTGTAGCCCTTTACACGACATGATTTTTTGGCATGACCTTCACCGTTTTGGCCTGCAGACCCATTTTTGGGACAGGCCCTCTATAAACGCAATATTAAGGGTTCGTGGACTCAAAACCGCACATAGGTATTCGTAAGACGAATAGCTGCAGCTGCACCGCAGCTATACGAAATTTTTGACCAAAGCCGTTTTATAATTTGCATGAAATTTTTATGTCTCGCAGGAAATATTTGTCGACCTAAGCACAAAAATAAGCTATAAAAAAATAAGCTACTAAATTATGGTCTGAATCAGTTTGGGTGGATCACCAATTTACTGTGAGATATTGTCTCTTTAAGGTGGTCAATCAGATGCCAGTCTCACGGGAGAAAGCCTTATTGAATTACTAAAGCAGATGCGGCCCATTCCAGGAGCACCAAAACGTCTGACAATAAGCAGAGCTTCCGTTTTTGAAGACAGCGTCGCCTTATTCAAGCAGCGAGACTTCGATTTCACTGTACCAATAAAGATCACGTTTGAAGGAGAACCTGCAATAGACGGTGGAGGGCCTGTGCGAGAGTTTTTCACAATTCTAATGAGAGAACTATTGTCTCCATCGTTAACAGTTCGCCTGTTTGAAGGAAAAGATCCTAGTTTCATCCCTATTCACAATACAGATGCCTTACGTTCTAATTTATTCAAGGTTGCAGGGAAAATGGTGACAGCTTCAGTGTGTCATGGTGGTCCTGGTTTGCCAGTATTCCCTAAGGCAGTATATTCGTATTTCCAGGATCCCAATCCTGACATTGTTATCGATGAGATTACTAAAGAAGATCTCGTAGACATGGAAGTAATCGATGCAGTCAATAAGGTAAAATCTATACGACCATAGCATGCCAGGAATTTTCATGAAATCTGAAATGTGCATTATATAAATAATTAAAAACACATGACAAGCTGGGTTTCTGTATCAACCCTTTCTTTAATAAAAGACTTCCAAAGCTGCCAAAAACAATCTCGTTATAATTTCATGCATGGTTTAATACCGAACAGTTGCCCCAGTTTGATGGATATCAATGTCTGGGTTACATATATGGTATAAGTACAGTATATAAAAAATGCGATGGTATATGTATAAGTATTTCAAAAACTCATTAATAATTCATGAAGCAATTATCCAATCTTGAGTAAGAAATTAGTCACGTGCATACGTCTTTATACCAGCTAAAGAACACTTTAACAAAAACCATTGTTATGCAAACTATATAAAGATTTTTATATAAAGATTTTTATATAAAGATTTGACTTATTACGCATACGTTTTTGAAGTCATTTAAAAAACTCGCGGGTCGTGTTTTATTAGGTCTAAAGCCACTCGCGCTGCGCGCTCGTGGCTTTAAACCTAATAAAACACTCCTGCTCGTTTTTTAAATAGTACATAAAAAATGCGATGGTATAAGTATATATTAAAAAATGCGAGTTCAGTTATGATACACAACTTATTCAACCAATGTTGCCCTTGCAAAGTCAAAACTCAAAACCTCGACCTCTAAGCTCAAAAGGCACTATGGACGTGCTTAACTCCATGCTTAATTCTATTTGTCCGTAACACAGCTTGGTGGACTCGAGCTTGGTGCGGAGTTAAAGCGCCAGGCATACGTCGATGCTGGTACCCGTAATGCTTTCGCGCTTGGAGGTAGAGGTTTTGACAATAAAATAAAGATCCATATAGAAGGGCCACTTACGTCGGAAGCTTTGAAGTTTCTGTCCTCGCGCATTACGCATGTTGGCCGCCATTTTCCTAGCCAGTCAATGACATTTTCTGGCCAATAAACACGCTGTACTGGCTGGCTGCTCCGCCTTCTGGCCAGTAAACTGCATATTTTTGCATAAAAAAACGCGGACACGTTGCACCGCTGAGTGGCCCTTCTGTTACTGATCTTTATTCTGTGGTTTTGACAGTGTGAAGACAAGCTTAATTGAATTAGCTGTATAAAAGTACAATAGTGTGCACATACTCCTAATGTAATGTTATCTAGTTGGACGATGTCAAACAAGAAGATGTTGCCACGTTAGCAACGGAGTTACAGGGAATGTTTATAGAAGCTGGATTTCCACACATCCTAACATTTGAAAACCGGTTTCAGGCCATTATGGCTCTGTGTCTTCATTCGGTCATCTTATCCAGAAAAGCCGAGTTGGACCAATTTATATCTGGTTTGGGTCCTCTTATAAATATCGTACGTAAACATCCTGATCTTGCTGAGCCACTTTTTGTGGCAGGCCGTGTTAAACCTCCTACTGCTGAGGAAGTTCTCTCCCTGGTTGAATATGAAAACGTTGACGACAAACACAAGGAATTCTTCCAGAAATATGTAAGGGCAGAATGTAAGTACACTTTTTCCTTTAATTATATATTTAATTAGCATTTTTAGCGCACGTTAATCTTGTTTGTTAATACAGTACTATGTATATTTCGATTATTATAGCTACCAGACTGCCTGGTTTACTGATGTTTGCTACAGGTTGCCGGGTAATTCCACCAATGGGATTCTGTAACCCTTCTGAAATAACTGTCCTGCAAAATACTTCCTGTTTCCCAAATGCAAATACCTGTCCCTTGGAACTGGAAGTTCCAGGCCACGTGGATGCGTATGAAGACTTCAAAAGAAACATGGATTGTGCAATAAATGCTCAGGAGGTAGGATTTGGCATAATCTAAAGCTCTTTTTCTGCTTGCTCCAGAGCAAGCTTGAACTGTTTTACTGTTGAGTTTGGAAACATTAATGTTACAACATAAGAACTTGTAGTAAGCATGTACTTTTCGATACTATACTTAAATTAGTAAATCGACTGCTCAAATTCTATATGTACTGTAGTTATTGTAACAAACATTTAGTTGTCAGGATCCTGTCAGAGTCTCGTCAGCCTATATTCAAATGTATAAAAGTTTCCAAAAGGCCCTGATTTATTTGTAGTAATGTAAATGGTATATGATGGTCAGAAAAAAACTTAAATATATTTTAAAATAGGCTGTCATAATTAGACATATCCCTTGTCAAGTATACGATAAGAGTATATGCTCTGAAAGATTTAAAGATTTTATTGCTTTTAATTATCTCCTTGAATAGGTATGTTTTTGTAAATTAATGAAATACTCTGATCTAACTATTACTGGAACATATTTGCAAAATAAACATAATACGGGAATTAACCCATTAACGAGCAATGTGCCCTGTGCACCCTACTTTGCTCTTTTGCTTTATCAGAACCTGGACGATTTTACTTTTCAAGGGAAGAGTCTTGCAGGTTAATTGGTTAATTGAACGGCATCTTTTAATATAAAAATACTATTTTTCTAAGTTCTGTATGTACTGCATTACACACTCTGTCTCTAGCTATAAATTATTTTGTAAACATTCGTCCAAGAAAGAAATAACTTCTATATATATGTCTACCCCATGATACAGAGAGTCTCGTAGAGGGTCAATCAATCTCCGTAGCTCCTCTGCCTCGGTCTCATTTATTGGTAATTCAGTTTCAGGCACCACAACAACAATTTCATCTGTTGCTTCAGCACTTGGACAGGGACTGTCCCAGTCAACGCCATAGTCTGAAAAGTTCTAGATAATAAACATATACCTGTTAAGCCAGTTAAGGTTAACATACATATAAAGAGAGACTATGTTGATGCAATGTATTACATATATTACATTTAGGGAAATGGAGTAGAACTGACAAATCGGATATGACATTAGTCACTAGATAGTACGGTACATGTATGCATATATACATACCGGATTCGCTTGTCACGACATCTTTGTTCGCTGTTTACGAGCAATGGTTACCAACAACGGTTTACTCATTTAGTATTTTTTGTACATTTTTTCGTGTCACTGTCGTTAAAAATTTCCTCAGCACTTCACTAGCTGTTAAATTTTACCCACGACGATAGTAGTCCGGTATAGTGTAATCGGGCCTTAAGTATGTACAAGAAGTGTAAAAAGCGAGTCTAAAGAATATTTACCTGATCAGAAAATTCTTCGGCAATTCTTCTGCTAGGGTTCGAGAGCATCCCTCTAAACCACATTTGCTCTGGGGATTGGTTTTGCTCGGTACTAATGGGTCCTCTGTTGTGACCCTCTGTGAATAACATCAAGTGTCGGTTGATTATTGGGAGGAACACATAATGCAACGCTGCCAGATGTTGTTCATTGGATGGATTAAGAATGTCTTCGTCTTCCATATGGTAAAACAAGTTGTAGAAAAGATAAGTGCAACCAGTGAATACATCTCTCCACAACCTTTCTATTCGTTGGTTGTGGACACTTTTACCAGCAATGTGGCTTCCCCTATCTGGACCTCTTAAAGGGTGAGACAGCATGTACCATGCAACTTCAGTGTTCTCACCTCCCTTATCTGAGCGAACACGAGATGGAAGCCCAAATTTATCAACTGCTGATTTGAAGCACTGGAGAACAGTCGAAGCCCGGTTATTTGTAGAGCATGCAAGAAATACTACCATTCGGGAGAAGCCATCTATTCCACCATGAATTACAAATCGCCAACTATAAAATGAATTGACATGTTTTTCCTTGTAGATACCTCATGTTAGCAACTTAGCATTCAACTCATTTGAGTAAATACTATTCTTAGGCCTCAGTGGTTACTATTGGAGAGACTGACATACTTTCATAAACAAGGTTTGGTGTCATCTTTGCTGTGCTGTCATTGGGAAATGACAGAGTTACAAATATGAAATTTCAGCCCTCTGTCCCATTTCTAGTGACAAAAGACATGAATTATGTCCCATATAGTCTGTGACTGTTTTTTTTAAAATTTTTTTATAGAATAATTACATACAATCACAGTTATTTTAATAGATGGTTTGGAGACTCGATGAAAGTACAATATAACTCATTAACTATGTTATTGTCCAGCTTTATGCAAGAATTTGGTCCTATCTCGTCATGTGTGTATTGTATTTTCGCTCAAAAATAACCAATAACAAGTTTGTGCTTGAGTTATTCATCCGTAACTTGAACAAATGCTCAATACATTGCTATTGGTTGTGCGGGAAAAAATACAATACACACGTGACGAGATAGGCCCAAGTTCTTGCATAAACCGAAACCAACATAGTTAATGAATTATATTGTACTTTCATTGAGTCTCCAAACCATGTATTCTATTAACTGTGATACAATCCAATGTGGACCAATAGGGTTAAATGTTAAATGAATTACATTACACCCCCCCCCCCCGTTCCCTTCCCGCTGTTCAATGTTGTTATACTTCTTTTTGACCAATTGAGCTGCAATGCACCCCAGTGCACCCTACTTATTTCTTTTTTACTTGTCTAACCCCAGACGATATCACTCGTCATTGGCGAAGCTCTGCAGCTTAATGGTTAACCAAAAAATCTGACAATGTCTCCAGTTAACCCATTGAGCTGCAATGCGCCCTACTTATTTTTTGACTTGTCTAATGCCAGACGATTTTACTCGTCAATGGGGTAGCTCTGCGGCTTAATGGGTTATTATTGAAATCAGTAGACCGCGACACCTCCACTTTTTTTTTCTGGCCGTATGCTAAGAAAGAGACAACACGTAATGTATTCAAACGTACCTCGTAATTAAATATTTCCGAACCTCGTGATCACAATTTGTTGCAGACAGGGTGTGAAAAACTGCAAGTTTCAATTTGACAGTCTGACAGTTAAACTAATTAAATGGGTTTCTAATTTTATTGTCCAATCAGGTGCGTAGTACTCAACTGTCAATTTATTCAAAGGTAAACAAGGTCACAGACGTCCAAACGAAGGTCAAGCAACAAAATATATGAAATATATTCGTTTAATTTGAAATATTCACCTCGATTTCTCCACTTTAGAGTCCCATAAATACTTATGATCTACGTTTTACCGAAAATGTGATCTCGATCTTGTAAAATAGTGGCATACACTTCGGCAGAATGCGCACCCAAATATTTTTCAAGAGCGGTTGAACATCTAGCTGGTCATGTGGTACATATGAGATATCATGTGAAGACTTTGAAACAGAATGCGCTGGATGCCAAAAAAGTGGGGGTGTCGCGGTGAAATGATTTCAATAATAAATTATATTTTGTGGTGCGTACAATATTGTGATGTTGATAATTATACTGCAACGTTATGCAACATTGGAACTGGGGTTTTAGCTGTGAATTTGCACAAATAAATTCAAGTGTCCCACATTTCAATGTCACTGATTGTAGGTGATTATTTTAAATTCTCCACGGTGCTTGGTTGCGATTGCTGATTGGCCTGAAGAGTTTTTCAAAATAGAGAAAACCATTTTTCCCAAAGTAAGCAATGAAGAAAGGTTTATTTTGTATTTTTTCCAACTAATAACCTATAATGCATGAGTCAATTCGTATTGTTACCATCTCCCCGGGCAAATTTTGATGTTTAGTTACCAGGCTCCTATTTACTTCTCATCTTTGCTAGATCCCCGCCCTATACCCCCGGGGATAATATCCCTTTGACAATTTCCCACCCCTGGGATATTTTCTTTTGCAATGCACGTCCCCGCAGGGGGGGGGGGTAACAGTATGAATTGGCTTATGAATATATTATAGATTAGTTATTGTTATCATGTGATCATTTTGTATCTAGCAATAAACAGAATCAACATGTACAACCTTGTAGCAAGTCTGCTGCAGACCTATAACAAGCTGGGAACAAGCAATACAAGCACATCCTGTTAACAAGTTGTTGGAACAGCATTGCTACAAATGTGCTGCAGGCTACTATACACAGCTATTAATAACATACCGTATTAATTTGTGGTTTCCATCAATATGCCATGAGGAAAGAGGGCCAGCAACATTGTAACGTCTTCGCCGAATGATGCTCATTTCAAGTGCTCGTAGGAGGATTCCTTCAGGATCGACTCTGCGCATGGATTGACGGATACGGGCCTGCTGCATGTAGACACCCCTCACCCTCAGAAGACCAGTTACTCTCTTGCAACCAACATTTGGAAAATCTCTTTGAATGTCAGTTATTAACGCATCTAATTGTTGATCGGATAAATAAGTATAAACACTTGAGGCAGACAGCCCGATGTCACGCATACGCCTTTCAACTGTACGTTTACTGGTGCTGAATAATTTTGCAATTTCATCAATGTTGAATTTTTTTCCAATAAAAATTCCAGCTGTTCGAATGGTATTTGAAGTCGTGGTCTGCCCCGCTCTCCAGAAAAAACTCTCAACTGCAAGTGCTTGGGAAGTGTTGCTCCCCAAGTTTTGTTGTAGGCATTCCTTAGCCATTCGTATGCAGTTAACAACCCTCCCATCAACAATATCCGAATCAACGTATCTCACTACCGTGCTATATATCCAGTCAAGACGATACTGTATGCTATCAATTACATTTTCATCAATGTTTTCTGACTGTAGTTGCCTCAGTACAGAATGCAACACATTAGTAAGCTCGATTCTTGTTTGACTATGATTTTCGTCAACTCTCAAGCTTTCCGCCATATTTGATTTACTCTATGATATTGATATGTTCCAGACATCTCGCTTCCGGTTGTCAAATTTTGGTTTCTGAGTGCCACGCCGAATAAAATTTCAAGCCGAATGAAATTTCAAGCCGAATGAAATTTCAAGCTGAATGAAATTTCACAAATATTGAATTCACGCCGAATGAAATTGCACGGCGAACATTTTAGTATTCAGGAATCTCACTGAGTAATTAAATTTACTATAAAAAACTCAATTTTTCAAAATTATTGGTAAATCTAATATACTGTAGTGCATATCACCGGTATTCTGTAGTGATTTTAGTATTTACCTTCCACTAAATTAAGTTAGCAATATCTCATCTGTACAGTGTTATCACACAACATGACACACCAAATCCTCGTACAATTTGATAAACCGTTCCTTACTTATTGCCGCACTGGTATTCTGTGGTACATTAGGATTCTTAAGAAAATAATAGAATCTTCCAAATCTAACCTCAAGACCCCACAGGAAGATGCAAATAATAATGCAAAACTATACTAAAAAAATATTTAACACTCTATGTTATATGCATTTCACAAAAGTTATATGGAACATGTAAGTTTGTGTGGTATCGCGCTATTAAAAACCATGCACAAACATAACTTCGAACTATCACAAGACCACAACAGTACAGTGAGTGCGGTATGCGCTATTTAAACACGAGCAGCCGAGTGCTATATGAGAGCGCAGCTCGAGTCTGCGAATGTTTTAAATGGCTTAAACGTAAAAGCCTGGTTCAAATACAGGGTGTCCCAAAACGATTGAAATAACGTATTGTTAGAATATGAATGCCTCAGCACTCTGATGTGCATAAAAGGCTAAAAGCTTGACATAAGTATAAATGTTGTGCATAAAAAAACTGTTTAAATTCCCAGGTTACTTTAAATTCCCAAGAGCAGAAAATCGTGAACTTTACAAAGATATTTTAATTTCTTAATAGGTCAATATTTATAATATATATGCACCCTGTCAATATTTTATGCGTCTTTGCGTTCAGCTTAGTGCTAGGGCATTCAAATTCTAACAATACGTTTTTTTCAATAGTTTGTGGGGTTTTTGTGACACCCTGTATACCGTCAGCTGACTGTAGTCATTATAGCAGTTCAACCAAATAATTCACAAAAGAATGTACGCATCAACATGCAGCTACGTGTGAACAATGTGTCGCAGGCATACCGCAGGAATAGGTGAACCACGCTAAAGTAAAGTGCGCACTGCATGCTGATGTTTTACTTCGCTAGTGAATATAATTCTTCGCCAACTTGCCTTTCTTTTGAATTTGCAGATAGGAAGTCGTAAGAACTGAATACTGAACAACATGGAGCAAAACTTGCATCCAGGGACTTCAACTTAAAGCCACGTCACTTCGAAAACTAGACTAAGAGTTGTGGAAATTGTTTTTACTGCATTCGACACATGCCTGTATACGTAACAAAACATGTATACATAACAAAACTAGCATGATCAATGATGAAAAATATCCCATGCACACGCTTCAACCCCATGCACTGACTCGGCCCCTGCATGGTTGCGTTGCATGCATGCTTAAACAATGCACATGCAGAACATTATAATGTGTGTATACAGTATAGTGTACCCTATCCTTTTTGGCAGGCAAAGTACATTAAAGTTCTTTGTAAGTTTACATGGCGATAAAACATATAATAGTTTTGTTTGTGGAAACACCACGTAAATTTATTACTCGGCAAAGTTTTCGATCCGTAAGCCCGGATCTTCATCACGTATTATTAGCACTGATGAAGATCCGGGCTTACGGATCGAAAGATTTGCAGTATAAATAAATTTACGTGGTGTTTCCACTGACAAACAAAACTATTATAAAGTACATTTAATTTAGCCATGAAATAGCATGCAAAGCGTCGTTCTTTTAAAACGCCATACTATATTGATAGTTGGCAGTTGCCGGACCTGTTGATGCCATGTCTCCGTGTCAATTACATGCATATAGTCAAATCATATTCAAAGAAAAAGTCAACTGACTAAACCCTGTTTAAATTATACCAAACTGATGAAATAGATTTGCTTAGTAACACTTGAAATAAACACAAACACAGAAATATCGCTTTCCAAGCGTTATAAATTGTTTGTAACAAGCAAATTCACTATATAGTGTATAAGACCAGCCAGAAATCATCAGACCATACAATGAATACAAAATACACCAAAACAACTGCATTGTTACTGGCTAATGAGATTCCCTGTATTTATAGATCATGCATGCAAAGCATTCTGGTCGGTTAACAGAGATGCATTCTGGTCGGTTAACAGCAGTGCATTCTGGTCAGAGAAACGGAAGTAAAATCTTACTTTCAAAGCCCAATACGAATTAGAACTGCTGACTTGCTTGCTCGCTTCAGGCTCGCTCGCTGCGTGAGCAATAAAGTGTCAGCAGAACAGAATGCTGGCCATGTTCAATATGTCACTATTTTATCTGGCAGGTTATGACATGCTTGATCAATGTTGTCATTGACAATGGTTGCTTGTCCATGTCACTGTAGCCTTGAAGCTGCTAACTGTACAATGTAAACCTTGCTGTCCACACTTTCTAGGATGCAGCACCTTAATCTCCATCTGATCTCAGACATGCAAAATAGCTCCTAGTTTCTTTCATGGAAACCCTGACAATTGAACATGTTTATTTGGATTAAAAAAATGATATTATTATAATCATCTACCACATTGTTTAACTGCTGGATTGTACAATGCAATTCACACCATGCAGGTACTAAATATTTTAATATAGTTAGTGAACCCAGCTAATTTTAGATTTCACACAGTGGCGTTACCTTGGATGTTGCTTCACTGATTGGCGTACTCTACCAATCTGACAACCAAACACCAGAGCAAGGCTTTTTCACTCAAATCAATATGGCTCTTGCCCTGATTTCTATTAACACTGGGTCCACAGTTATCATGTTGAAATATATTTTATGTTGTTACATTTCTACACATTCTATGTAGGGCAATTTTGTCCTGCTTCTGACAACCATTAACTAACTGTACATGATAATTGTACTATTTTATACAATTATGCCAGCCAGACTTTAGTAATTATTTACACAAAACAGCTAATAGATCTAAAAAAAAATTATATGAAGTAAATGCATTTCATCGTGATATTAACACAAAGTCTACCTTTATAGTACTTAAAAGATTACAACAAGATTTCTATTTCCATCTGCAGTTTTAAATACAAAAATATATGTCAACCTTGATGGCTTGATGTTTTCGTATACAAAAATATATGTCAACTGACAACATGTAAATTATTTGATAACAATTTTAATTTCCGGGTTAAGATTCTTTCAATTGTCCAAAAAAGCTGAATTGTTAATCGTTCAGTCGCCTTTAGCGACCGTATTAATATAAATTCACAAATTCTCATAATTCTTCACTCCATGCAATCCGCCATCTTGGATGACAAATCCCTCCCCACGTGCATACCCTAGAGACAAAATTGCTGCGCAAGCAAGATGCGCAGAACGGCTCAACCATGTCGGGTTTTGGCAGGCATCTAACCGATTCTAGGGCCCCCTTTACACGAGCCCGGGTTGGCTATCAACCCGGGTTGGCTTGCCAGCCCGGGTCAACCCGTCTACGAATAAATCTCTATTAGCGTTTACACGATAGCCGGGTCAACCTTTCACACCTCGCCAACCCGGGGCACCCTTCTCGAGACCCGGGTCGACCCGGGTTGGCGAGGTGTGAACGTGTGAAAAGTTTACTCATTTCTTCATGTAAAGCCGGGTTGACTTGACCCGGGATCATGTAAAGTGCGGTAAATTCCTGATTGTGAACTTTGCACCTAGCGTCATATCGCATTTCAACATTTTGCACGCGTATTTTCTCCGTCTCTGTTTAGTACAGACATATAAAATCATAGAGTATGGTGAGTAAAAACTGTCCAAAACCAAAAGAAAAAATGCTCAACCCACGTTTCAGTGGTGGTCTGAAATTATTGATCACCTAATCCTTTCTCTGAAGGATTATAAGACGGAGATGAATTATAAAAATGTAGATTTCAACTCCGATGTTGTCGCAATGTATTCAAACTTTCAAAGTTGCGCAAAAGTCTGGCGTTGGCGTTCGATGCCGAATATTTTTGCCCAGTAGATCTTCCAGTACAAAATAACGAGGAAAAAATGGGAAGAAAACGTCTTTAACGGCAGAATTATTATACGTTTAAATCCTTGATAAAAAGGGACATAATCGTATACTGATTACTGAAAGATATAAGCGCCAAAACTAAAAGGTATATAATTGCTGCCGAAGGCAGCACCCTATTCTTGACACGCGGTGGTTTCTCCAGAGTCCACTCGACCCAGTTTTTCGCGCGATCTATGTATTGTCGAGATCTCGATTTGTGTCTGTCTGTCTGTTAAGATGATTTCCGGGAGGAATAATTAAGCTTCAGGAAGTTTCTTTTAATGAGGGGGGCGGTCAAACTTTGTTTTGTATGTTTATATGTTGGATTGCAAACGAATATCAAAGAATAAATCAGGTAAGAATGGTTTTATTTCTTTCTGGTGATATACATGAAGGCATTTAGATCTGCTGCTTTATAGCATTCGATACAGAGGTATTGAAACATATGATATTTCATGATGTCAATAATGACAGCTATCTTATTTTATATACAAGGAGCTTGGGAATGTACTTTGAGTTTATTTGTTTGTGTGGCGATGAATTTTATATAGTGTTCATTTTAGATGTTTATAGCAATGGTGCTTTCAGGCACGTTTTAAAAACAAACGCGGACAGACGGACTGTTAATACTTGTGCACGTAATCAGGCTTCCTATAGCAACCCAGTGTGGGGATTGTTGTCTGTATATATTAACTTTAATAGCAGGCTACCAGCAGTTAATACATGCAAATAGCATGTCAACTGACTTTTGTACAAGGCCGGGTATCATGCATGCCTGATGGGCTGTTTATATTAATATCTCTGAGACATCTCCATTGTTAAAGATGCGGTACAGTCCGTATGTAAACAAAGGCTTTGTTTACATTTCGGTGTCCAAAATATAGAATTTTATTCGACAACTATTTATATTTTCTTGATTCTAGAGTATAATAAATTATAAAGACACAACAATCAAGCTTTGCAAGAACATAAAACGAAATAAAACCTAAATAAACTGTTTGTATATTAAAAAGAGGGCTCCTCCTTTGTGCACATGTGCAAATATACTGTACAGCATCTTTAACATAATATGAAATAATCCTACCGACCTATACTCATACATTCACCTGGCTGTGTCATGCAATATGTTTCCGGGTATGCTATTATTGGGTTTCACTAACTAGGCATTATGCAGTGGATCTGATGGGGGGTCAACCTCACATGTATTGATGCTTATGCTGTACTGGAGTGAGAAAATTATACGAAATTCCATGTATTGCCACCAAACACAAGGCTAATACATAAAACAAACAATCGACTCACTCTGATAACTGTGTTTTGTTTTAGAGTTGACCTCTCCCCCCCCTGTCACTTCTGTGACGTCATATGAAACCCAAGAATATGCTTCGATAATGCTCACAATTTCTTTCTTATATAGTTTTGTAGTTCTGACTGAGTACAATCTCTGACTGAGTACAATGAATGGTGTCATCTGAAGCTGACATATTAATTAAACAAAAATATTAACAAATAGATTTTGTCTCCCTATCAGATTGTTCGGTTGATTTGCATGCAATAGGGGTAGCCTTGAAGGTGCCATGTAAATAATAATTGGGACAAAAACTGATTTAGTATTTCTACAGTGTGTCTCAAAAAAAAGTGAACCCTTTCAAATTCAAATTAGCTATATTGTAGTAACTTGACACCAGTCTAATTGCATTGAATTAATAGTTAGGTAACACAAGGAATACTGTTTTTCTTTTAAATTTTCTATTTTTTATTTCTTTGAGTTTTGTCCCATGAGTACAAGACCTTGTGTTCTTACCCAATCATTAATTCAAAGCAATTAGAGCTGTCAAATTTGAAAGGATTCACTTTTTTTAGACACACTGTATATATGATATTATACAGTATTCAGTGGCTAGCTAGCCATGGCAACTGGTCATGCTATCCTAATAAACCTGCATATATTGTAATTATACATACAAAAGCAAGAAATTATAAACATTGAAGGTGTTCATATAAAACTGCCCAATGCCATCACAGTTAATAGAATACATGGTTTGGAGACTCGATGAAAGTACAATATAACTCATTAACTATGTTGGTTTCGGTTTATGCTGGAATTTGGGCCTATCTCGTCACGTGTGTATTGTATTTTTTCCCACACAACCAATAGCAATGTTTAAATTGAGCATTTGTTCAAGTTACGGATGGATAACTCAACAAAAAACTTGTTATTGGTTATTTGAGCGAAAATAGAATACACACGTGACGAGATAGGACCAAATTCTTGCATAAAGCTGGACAATAACATAGTTAATGAGTTATATTGTACTTTCATTGAGCCTCCAAACCATCTATTAAAATAACTGTGATGCCATGAAAGTAGAAATAGAATATTTAGCTGACCTTTGACTTTGTGCAAGGTGTTTGATATTCAAATTGTACTTTTCCTACCTCATGAACATGTGTCTTAGGGGCTGTTTACTGTAAATATTGGAAGCCGGGTGATTTTAATGTATTGAAATAAGTCAACAGAATTCAAATGTTGTAGTTCAAGAAGATTATTGCTGCTTGAACAACCTTGCTGAATCGTGTACAGTAATTTATTTTAGAAGTAATACATCAAAATAATCCTGCCTGGCATCTTGTCCTGGCAAAGCAGGATCATATATAGCCTCCTCCGCAGGCAACTCTTTGGCAAGAATTGGCAAAAGTATTATTATGAATAAAAAATTGGCAAAAATGTGAATATTATAGGGTTACGCTCTGTGTTCCCTAACAATCCCTAACTTTAAATTCGCTGTTATTCATAATATTTTTGCCAAAGAGTTGCCTGCAGAGGAGGCTAGATCATATAAACAGCCCCTTATTCAGCAAATTGTGCATGCTGCCTTTGATCCCTTGAGGGTGAGGCAGCACTTTCCTTGCGATAGTAACTTCTAGTCGTAATAATATCGTATGAGGTCTATAAGGGATTTTAAGGGATATAATCGCCTGTTGCTCGGAATATTACTCGAGTCAGCCCGGGTTGAGAATTGCTGACCCGGGTTCATGTAAACAGAATAAAAAAATAACCACCTGTGGCGTGCTGACCCAGGTTGAAAATCAACCCGGGCTCGTGTAAAGGGGGCCTAGGTAAGTAGCACGAGATGCCTGCGGAGGAGGCTAATAATATGTATAGTTTTATTCCTCTGCATTATCAAAATTTAATAAAATAGTGAATTAATACAATTTTAAAATTTATCTAATCAGTGTGACATAATTTTCCGGGAGATTCATATCTGTACTTACCTCATCTGTGGTTGCCATCGCTTCGCTCGGCAGCAAACATAAAGTGATCCTCACCTTCCAAATTGCTCCCTTGCCAAGAGCAAAACTTTAGTCAGAAAATTGATTGTTTCGATCTGGCGAAACACGCCAGCAAGTGATTAAAGTGTTGAATTTTAGCTACATTTCTCCGAAACTCTATTATTTTACGAAGGAAGTCACCAATAAAACAAAATACTTTCAAAATGGCCGGCTGTTTGGTTTTTGAATTTTGAATTAATTTTATGCCATCCAATCAGAATGCAAAAAATTGAAATGATTGGAAGGGTAAGATTTGGAGACTGGAACGAGAACTGATCTCAAACTGAAACTGGATCTGGTTACACGGAATATAGTCTAATCTAAAGTAGAAATAAATATATTTTTACGAACCTAAAATTTGCACTTTCACGAGCAACAGTTCACGGATATAACCCTCAAAAATGTTCACAAAGACTTATTTCTGTGTTGGTGTTATGTACTCTGGTGAATATGATGTTTGTGATGTTACTCTGAGTGTATATCCACACCGGGCGAGCTTGAAAAATATGCCCGCCACGGTGGGAATCAAACCTACAACTTTTGGAATACTAGCCCAATGCTCTGCCAACTGAGCTACGCGGTCAGGTCGGTTCGAGTATGTGATATTTCGGAACTGAATCTAGTTCCTTCCATATCCGGCAATAGTGTTCCAAAGTCAGTATGTACGTTCGATTCCCACTGTGACCAGGCATATTTTTCAAGCTTGTCCGGTGTGGATATACACTCAGAGTAACATCACAAACGTTCAGAGAGACATTTTAAAATATACTCACGTGAATAGAGCAATAGGCGAGCCATCGCAGCCGAGATCTCGGGTCATGTCACCCGAGATCTCGGGTCAGTCAAGATCTCGCTTTAAGCTTAGCCTACGGTGTAGATTCCCATATAAACGCAAAATAAAATTTAGTAGGAAATGATAACGAAGGTGGAATCTCGCCTAAACCGGACCAGATTAGGTACCTGTGCTGGCTCGCTGCATACAAACTGCCCCTTTATAGGAATAGTTTACAATTGTTTTCTTTATAAAGCTTTGCATGGCATTCATAGTAGAAATAAAGAACAATTGGTCGTCACACTGTGTATTTAATTTAATTCAATACAAATTAAATGAAATATAAATCCTTTATTCGGCAGTGTTGCCATATGGCAACAAATGTTAATTTATGCCTGCTGTTGTTGCTATGCGACAAATGTTGTTGCTATGTTGTTGCTATGCGACTAAATGAATATATCCCATAATACAATGCAAGCCGAATACTTAATTCTCAAGATGGCTGCCAAAGATTTGAAGTATTCGCACATGGTAGAGGAAAATTAAGGCAAATTTCGTGCCATTTTAGCTAAGTGAGGTATGTAGATTTCAATTTATTACTATTCGACGTCTGTACATTTTGTTTAGTTTGTTTTTTGGGAGATTTTAAGAGGGCCTCTCAGTAAAATCCACCCACTGGTTTGGGGAAGGAAAAATAGATTTAGCTCATATTTTGCATATGAACTAGACTTTGGTCAATATTAATCAAGCTTCTTTCAGAACGTTTCAACGTTCTGTTTTATAGGAGTTATAGCCCATGTTGAAATTTGACCTTGCGAGAATATTTTCAGACCATAAATTAAGGGAATTTCACAATAATTCATCTGATTTTTTAAAAACTTTATGATGCGTTATCCCCTCCAGTTACTGTTCACATGCAAGATTAGCACTAATACTCTCATTTTCATGGAGATTGAACAACTTTCTTTGCTTAATACGATTTTTTTATAGTTTTACGAAACTATGTTTTCAAGATGGCGACGTGAGGCTGAAAATTGCTCATATTTTACTTAAAATAGCTCAAAAGTGGCACCTATCTGAAGTTCAAAAGGCATGTAATTTGAAAGTATACCTACTAAAGTTAAGTAATCAGGAATAAAACTCGTCTGCAAGCAATTTTCTCAAAAGTTATAAATCTCCAAATTGGGTCTATTTTTAGCTGTTTGTTTACATTCGCATGTTCGCTGATCAGCGACACTACTAATAATTAAAAAGTTAAATAAGCTGGTTTATTATCCAGGTTCTAATTCACAACATAGAAACATTCAAAATACAACCTTAACCATTCTTGGCTTATTCGCATGAATAATTTCACAACTGTTAAATATCTTTTTAAAGTATAAATGGGCGGTACTTTCTGTGGTTATAGCAAATTTCAAAGCTGTCAGTATCTCTGGCTGTATATAAAAAGTGTTCGGTGCTTTAACTTTTCTATTCAACTCGTCTCGTAATCTTTTTCTGTCCCTGTAAATGGAAATTTTGCCGGAAAGGTCGGAAATTAATTCTTGCTGCATGGATGCAACATATTTTTGTACATAATTGCAGTCAAAATACTACAACTTTCGCACTTCCGCTTTTGTAGTCTGTTGCCATCTTTGTAGTCTGCTTTCCCGAGGTCTCAGTAAATAAGTGTTTTGTTATATAGTATATAAGTGTCGAAGTATGAATAATTCACCAGTTATTGGAGTGAACTTAATTTGAAACCAAAACTGGATAAATGGAATGCCGTAAATAAAAAGTTTAAAAAATGTACTTTGGAACTTCGCGGTTGACACGCATGCGTATTGCACCCATTTTATTATTGACCGGCTAAAAAATGTTTCATTGCGGACCGGTTGCAGTTTTATTTTATGCATGCTTTTGTAATCTAGAACAATAGTAACTAGGCATATGTGTTATATAAAGTTGTGAATTGGGTATAAACAAACGTTACCCAAATTTGTCTAATCGGGCGAGACTTGGGTCAGTACACACATTTTTATAAAAATAGCAACCCTTCGGCTAAACAGGATTCTGATTATCATATTGAGCTAGCGAGGTCAAAATCAGGCGAGTTTCTGCAAGTGCATTAAACCATATTACCTGTAGCACTATTCCATGACCTAAACATCGCACAGAGACGCTTATGTAAGTTTTCAACTCACACTGGTCATTCAGACATGCACCTCCCGCCCTGGGAGCAGCAGATCAAAGTCATAATCAGGAGATTATGGTATTGTGTCAATGTTTTTGACGAGGTTCTTATTATATTACCAATATATATTTAATAACATTAGAAGATATGTCAGGGTCGCCGACATCAGCAGAATCGTTGTAACCGTACTACTGTGCGTGTAAGTAAGTATAAATGTAAAGTAATTCAAATTCAAGAATGTTCTGTACACGATCGCTTGTATATATTGTAATTATATTTTCACAAAATTGTATATAATCTTCTGAACAAGCTAAGAAAGTTTACTGGGTAATAAATCAGCTTATTTTAACTCTTCAATTATTAGTGTCCCTGATCAGCGAACATGCGAATGTAAACAAACAGCTAAAAATAGACCCAATTTGGAGATTTATAACTTTTGAGAAAATTGCTTGCAGACGAGTTTTATTCCTGATTACTTAACTTTAGTAGGTATACTTTCAAATTACATGCCTTTTGAACTTCAGATAGGTGCCACTTTTGAGCTATTTTAAGTAAAATATGAGTAATTTTCAGCCTCTCATCGCCATCTTCAAAACATAGTTTCGTAAAACTATAAAAAAATCGTATTAAGCAAATAAAGTTGTTCAATCTCCATGAAAACGAGAGTATTAGTGCTAATCTTGCATGTGAACAGTAACTGGAGAGGATAAACGCATCACAACATTTTTAAAAAATCAGATGAATTCTTGTAAAATTCCCCTTCATTTCCGGTCTGAAAATACTCTCGCAAGGTCAAATTTCAACATGGGCTATAACTCCTATAAAACAAAAAGTTGAAACGTTCTGAAAGAAGCTCGATTAATATTGACCAAAGTCTAGTTCATATGCAAAATATGAGCTAAATCTATTTTTCCTTCCCCAAACCAGTGGGTGGATTTTACTGAGACGCCCTCTTAAGAGTATTAGGGAAGCCTCACATATCGATTTTTTCCACAAGAAACGTCATATGTTCGTTTGGGGGTCGGGGGGGGGGTTGGCAGCTGTGAGTCAGATGAGGAGCTAAACGCATCAATTTTTTAAATGTTTAATTGAACCAAAATGTTAGCAGATTCTCGGTTTGAGGAGATCAAATATTATTTTTCCTGAATACTGTGACTATGCTGATGCAATTAAGATGCTGCAGCAAAATCGTCTTAATACTTTTAATACAGTGGATGATTATCTAATCCGGTTTGCCCCACTCACTGATTTTCTGTTTTGTATTTTAACTCATTAACATGCAAGCTGTTACAATGTTTCTACCTCCCAACGCCCAAGCAATATGGCGAATATGTGATTGAATTTGAGAGCTTTCACCAAAATGGCAATATCTCAGAAACAGTTGCATGAAAAAATCTGGTCTTTTCAACCAAATATTATTGATATATGATTGACCAAATTTAGTTTAAATGAACTTGCATACCTATATATATCATTAGTTTTTTCAATGAGAATTTTTATTTGTAAAGCAGTGACACTTTGTTTTTCATGTCACTCATCCGGTCGTAGTAAATACTGCCCGGAGCGCCCGGGGACGCCCGGGAGTGCCCGGGGATGCCCTGAAGCGCCCGGGAGCGCGTGAGAACGCCCGGGGATATACAAGATAGTATAAATCAGTGCACGATCCTTTTTGAGTCTCTATGAGGCATTATATTAATGAAAAATAATATTAAAAGTGATTTTCAACCAGCCTAGCAACAAGCGGTAAAAGCGCGGTCTCCCACGCAGGAATTTGTGTGAAACATGAGCTTATATTTATTATAGATGTAAATATTTTCTGTTAAAATAAAGTTAAAGTTAAAATAAAAAATTAAGACTAGTCAGTTTGTTTTAATATATCAACTGCTAAGAACAAGTCAATTGTCGTTTGGCGGCGTTAAGATTACCGAGATCTATGACAAGTCAAAAACAAACTAAGTCTAAAAAGATAAGATGAAAGACTAAAATATATCCTAAACTATACTCTAGAGTAGATAAAAAGCATTAATAGAGTAGATAAACACTATATTTTACTAATATTTAGGCTGAAAAACTGCGTTCTTGTTTACGCGGAATGGTTTTAATGAGGTTATGCAATAACAAAGGTTAACAGCTAGGGAACCAAGCCTCGTTATGTCGGCACATCATGTGACCAAAAGGGGGCCGGGCGAGTATGTAATAAGAGGTTGGCGCATTGGTGGTATTAGTAATCATTGTGCATTGGAAGCGTAGTAAACGTATTAGGAACAAAGATTTTTTTTCTCTCCTGTTCTTTTATATTTCCACCAATTGTTAATTGGTGTGAAGGTGTTAGCCATGCGGGGGTGGTCTGCTCAAGATACCACTGGCATGGATCTTAACCCGAGTCCAAGTAACAGTAGTACCAGTAGTCGTCGTTCCAGGCCACCCCTCGGTCACCCGGGCTAACACCACACCATCCAAACGGGTAAGTATGGTGAACGAAGGTGTTAATGAGTTTATATGATGCTAATTTAATTAGTAATGACTGTTTTCTTTTTGGCCTAATCTTAATGACAAAAATTTTTCGAACGCCGCCAAACGACAATTGACTTGTCCTCAGCAATTGATATATCAAAACAAACTGACTAGTCTTAATTTTTTATTTTAACTTTAGTTTAATTTAATAACAGCAAATATTCACATTTATAATAAATATAAGCTCATGTTTCACACAACTTCCTGCGTGGGCGACCACGCTTTTACCGCTTGTTGTTAGGCTGGTTGAAAATCACTTTTAATATTATTTTTCATTAATATAATGCCTCATAGAGACTCAAAAAGGATCGTGCACTGATTTATACTATCTTGTATATCCCCGGGCACTCCTGGGCGCTCCGGGCAGTATTTAGTAGGACCCCACTTATCACCTAAAGGGGCAATATCTCCATCAATTTATATAAAAACCAAAAAAAAATTATTTACTGAATTAGTACATATCTATATTATAACCAATTTTCATCTATTGGGATATGAATTAGAAAATGATCAAAAATTATAAAATATACTCCTTTGCTTTTTTTGGGCAAGATGTTTACAATATGAAATTTACAACAGCAACTAAGTGTTCAAATTCAACAAAGTGTGCAAGCCAAAACACAGTGCTTGTACATCTTTCAAGTTTTTAATTACTTCAAATCTATTTAAAAGGACATATGGTACTAGAATCTATTTTCAATATAAACCAAGGATGGGAAGGTGAGAAAATAGGAATTTACTGAGGTGTTTTTAACACAGACAATGACAGCCGACAATTTCAAAGGCAAATTGTGGTGACAAAACCAAAAGCTATTAACCTCTCTACTCAAAGCACTGAAAAACACCATAAAAAGAAAAACATTTTAAACATACATCAGGTAAGACTTTTAGCTCAATTCTCTCATGTTTTTGTTGGAAAAGCAACAGTTTTTAGCCAAAATTATTTTGCGCGCCTATGTAGGCTGCTATAAAATGTCAGACATGCGTTCTCTTTTGAAGTCTGGCTCTGAAAAACAATCGCTTTTTTTTTAGTTTGAAATAAGCCTTCATAAGGACTATTGTGTAGAAATGTTATCTATATGCTCACATGAAAAAGATAACCTAATATTCAGGTATTCCACATAGCTATAAAAGGGTGAAATAAGAATTTTCATCTTTGGTTGTTTGTCAGACGTGAGAAACCACATTAGTGCCATTTTGTTGTGCGTGCTATTTTATAAAATACTGTAAACACCTCAAAACCATAAACTTTTAGTTCAGAAAATTACAAAGTTTCCCATAGACATTATTTAAAATGTTCTAGTGAAGCAATTTCACGATAAATAAGCGAGCAATGGGCCAAAAGGATGACTAAATTATGTTTTTGTTAGGACTTCAGTTTCATGGCTCCCCGCAAAGAAGCCATTTCAGAGAGAAGCGACAACAATGGCAAACAACCGTCGCAACCTATTTTGATAGCTTTTCCTTCTGATTCAACATGTAGTTATTAGAAAATGAGGTTGGATCAACATTACTATCTGCCTTATCGATTTAAAGTTTTATGGGCATATAAAACCCAATACAAAAAGCATTTTAAAAGCTTTAGAACTCAAGTGCGGACTTCTTGAGAATTCGCATGCGGCAAGCAAGCGCATTAATTCAATACACTTATTTCAAACCACAATATGTCTGAAACGAGTTGTCATTTTAAGACTAAATTGATGAAAATAGATATAACAGTGATTTTGGAATATCCTACTTATTTAGTGTAATTTAATACTCAAAGTATTCTTGCCAAATAGGGCACGTATGCACACAGTAATTTAATCTGGTGTCGTTTGAAACATACTTTAGCTAAAATAACAACTTGAACAAGAAGACCAACAATGGGGTAACGAAAACAGTAGAAATTGTGCCCAAATTTGCATAAACAGTTCGTCTAAAAAGATAACTTTAAACTAGATTCAACCAACATTAATGCAGTAGAATTTTGTGAGCGTTTGATCGCATATTTCTACTCAAAAATACCCTTTAAAAAATCGTATCTGCTCACTTGTGTTCCGTGTTCATCTTTCTTGTGATTTCCAACTTCTATTTTTAATAAAGTTTGGATAAATCCTCATCTGTTTGGCTGAAAATCTTGCGCATGGTTCACAGAAGAACTTGACCCCAAAACGTCAATATATTCGCTTTCCTTTCATGCCAAATTTTCGTTGCAGATGATTCAAAAACCTCTTCTTTTCTTGCTTTTAAAACTTGCTGTGAAATCCTTCTTTGCAACAGTATCGCCATTATTCATTATTTTTGAAAAACTAAGGTTTTAAACTTGAAAAACTTTGAGAGTTTCTGACCGATTTTCTTGCATGATACACCGTTGAAAAGCTCGAATTTCACTTTCTATTTTCGTATTTGTTGCTAGGCAACCCGATAAACACGTGCTCAAATATCATGCCCGCAAGTTAAGGTGTCAGGGCGCATTGTCTGTTACCCACTTGTCAATCTCAGGGCGCATACGGGCGCATTGGGCGTTAATGAGTAAAGATAATTATTGTAGCTTGTTTTAGGAGATATTCCAGAGGTTTCTGCTTTGTTCACACTGTACTGGAATGTTTTGAGGTGTTTCGAATATGTTCCAGACTGTTTTGTGTTATTCTGGTGGTGTCCGGATTACTGCGGTGGTGTCCCAGACTGTTCCAGAGTTGTTCCGTGCAGTTCCGGAGGTGTTCTGTGCTGTTCCAGAGGTGTTCTGGGCTGTTCCAAAGGTGTTCCGGGCTGTTCTGTGCTGTTCCGGAGGTGTTCTGGGGTGTTCCGTGCTGTTCCGGAGGTGTTCCGGATTAGTGTTCCATGTTTTAGTACATGCCTTTTAATACTGCTGTTCTGGCAAGCAAGTTAATTTTGGCTTGGGAATAAGTATAAAAGAAACAAAATTTAACTTTCTCCACAACATTTACCGTACAGAATTAATACATTGTGCTGATATTCATTTGTGTCTCATTCAGACTTATTTCCGAGTCAAAACTGAACTGAAGGTCATCGGACATATGTCCGACCCAAACTCAACCTCATCGGGCATTTTGTCAGACAGCCCTGTGAAAGATATTTTAAGGCCTGTATTATGGCTGACATGATTTGCCACAAGGTTTATGAATTATTAATGAGGATTCCAATTATATTTAACCTTAATACATTGTGATTTTAACTAGCTAGTCAAGGAGCCTGTTATGATACGGGTGATGGCCAAGGTGCTAATAAAAGAGAATCAAGAAAGAGAAAGCTAAAGAAGGTGGAAAAAAACTTTTGAATCTTTCTCTGGATGAGAAATGTAGAAAAAAAGGTTAAAAGAGGAAAATTAAAAGTAGTTGAACCAATGACAATGGGAGAAACTAATGACAGTGGCGAAGACACTCAAGTCTGGGTCTGCGACCCGGATACCGCCAAGGACCCTGGGGAATCTAATAACTATAGTGATGAAGACATCCCACGTCTAAAACGTGAAAATGCATTTTATGGAGTTTATCCAGAATCAAAGAAAATAATAAATTATTATGCAATGGTAAGGAATTTATTTTATTACCTAATTTATGGATCTTTGTTCTTGATCCCAAGGGATTGGTTACTTGAAATTGATCATAGTACCCATGAATGATCAGAGCATTTTCTGTTACTCCAAACAACAGATGACTTTTAAAATATTCCCCATCACAGAAGTCTCTAATTTTACCATCAGTGCTGGTATGAGAATTGCATGTCTTGAAAAATAATTAGATCATATGGTTACGGTGACAGTTTTTAACCTACTCCATTTTGCAGTTAAAATTATCAGGTGTTCTCATTCCTCAGGCCCTATAGGGTTCAGGATGGTCAAAGAGCTTTCATGTTAAAGGTTAACAAATTTGCTCACACTAATTAATTTGTTAACATAATTAAGTCACTGGCAATATTTTTCCAGGCAATACTTTCACATTGACAATAGGGTTTACTCGTAATGAAAAGAATTGCCCGCTGTCTAACTCGGGCAAGCAAGATAAAACGTTTACTTGCCCGTCATGATATTAACTTGCCCCAGGCAAGCGGGCAAGTGTTAAGTTACACCTCTGGTGAGAGTTACCTCGGTCAAAAAATCAAGATGATTTAGGAGAGCTTTCAGTGTTTCCAAGATTGGAATGTATTGAAAACTCTCCTTTCATTGGATATACTTTATCTTGTCATCTTTCATTTCGTAATGTCCCTCTTGGCTTAGAACAATATTTGTGGCTGCTATAGAATACAACATTGATGCATACAGATTAATAGCTACACAAATATTAATATTGCGCACCTGAGTAAAATACTAAAGTACAGCACATCAGAGTGCATACCACTTAATTAATTAAAAGGTTAAGCGCACACTGTTAGTCGAATAGGCAAATGTCAGTTAAAGAATTTAGGTGCAATAATCTAGAATAAATAAAATATATTTAAATATTGAAAAGGTGTCAAGCACAGAGTATTTATTAGAAGTATAGGCTTATAGTTATACCTTTTATACTTCGTATCTATTTTTAATTTTTTAACTTGAGTTTTTCCATGAGATATTTCACTTGCAAATACTTGTTTGCCACTGGACCCAAAGCCGTTTCATATATGCTCAATTGGTTGTGGAACACTTCTTTTAGACCATCAATTTCGGCCCAGCTCAAACCGTTTTGGGCTAAGCACAACTTAACTTTGCCACCTAGCATGTGAAGGCAATGGTTCACCAAGGTTTTTGTATTATCCATCATTGAGTCAATAGCTTGTTGGCTTACAAGATTAACCTCCTTCGCCTTTAAAACGAATAAGGCAATGAACTTCGTAATTTTCTCAATATCGGTATCTTGGTCAATGTCGTCTTCATCAGCTTGATCCTCATCTTCAATTGGGACATCAATAATGCCATGGTCAGGATCGTCATTTCCTTCATCAAGCAAGTGAGTGATGTTGTGCGCATTGTTTCTTGTGTTTTCTGTCCAAGTGAGACTTGAAGGATGAATACCTTGTGAACCCTTGCCCACAGTATGTGCACGAGATTTTAAAGTTGGGTTCGTTACTGTGAACAAATTTGATGTAACGCAGGTACCTATCAAACTTTTGCCCTGTGAACTCGCCACAGTATGGACAAACGTACATATTGGTCCATAAAATTGAAAATCTCCTTGCCTAAAAGATGCTACATTTGCATAAACCATGCAAATCGAAATCTATTTATATCATATGACCTTACAAGCATAACGCAAGAATTACCATATCATGCATGACAAGTTTCCGGTTCCAGTGAATATATTGTTGGCATAGTGCTTTTTTAAAATAAACTGCTCTGCGTTTTTACCAGTCAAAAAAGACTCTCGCCTGTTTTGTAATATATTGGTGGCATAATAGAGCTTTTTTAAATTGACTGCATTTTTTTTTAGTTTTCAGTAAGCATTAGAATTAACATATGCATGACAAGTTTCCAGCACTGAAAAATTTCCCAGTGAATACAATATAATATTGGACTATTAGAACTTTTTTAAACCGGCTGTTCAGGTTTTTTGTTAGTTTTCAGTAAACATTTATCTTTTTTTCTGCCACTCACCAACCCTTTTTTCATCGTTTTACTGGGGTTTTTTTATATCCCTCAGGGAAATCAGATTTTAGATGATCATCTCTCGGCCAATGAAAACTCGCTGCACGCTCGCGCGTGGCCACTGTGACTGTGGCTTAGGTTCATATTACAGTTCACCACATGAAAGCGTCATTTCGGTTGAGACTTGGTAAAACACACTCACACACTCTAACAGTCGTAGCAGTAAATATCTAATATTATAATATGGAAGGCTTGGAATTCATCAAGAAATGGTTGGTAGAAAGAGGCTTCGAGAAGCACTGTGGCACATTTGAAGGTAAATGTCAGTGAATTGTAGTATAGTCGGTTTAGATTATATCAACAGTCGGCCAAGCAGAATGCGGCTTCGTCTTGGAGTTCCCGCAAAAACTTTGGCGCAAGAGTTATCGCAACTTAAAGTAACTTAAAGCCGTTTTTCATAATATATAATAAAAACACAGTCATATTTGCAATGAACTATTGAGATTTGAGATGACAGGTGTCGCGTAATCTTATACTAGCTGTCTTTGGTGTGTCGCACTGTCGCTGCTTGTCCTGCTTGGCTTAGTAATTTCATGCAGCAGGTAATTGAAAATGCTGTTAGTTCGAATTGTTAATGTTCATTGATATTTACCAAGTAGCAATTTTCCACAGTATGCGTTTCGATTTTATTTAGATTAATATTTAGTCCTAATCATGTGACCTGATGATGTTATATAAAGCGCGAGATAAAGCGCATTTAAATATGGTCTATGTCTGAAAATGCAGCTTTGGCTTGTATTTATATTGGTAATTGAACTGAAAAGAGTGCAATTAAGCGATTTGGTCTGAAATCAAACGCTTGATTACAAAATCGGTATATGTAATCATAATTCAAAAGTCAACTTGCTTAGCCGCCGGGTCTAAAAACTCAAATTTTGCGCTAAATTTTGTGCTATTATTCCTAAAAGCTGATTGATCGGTTTGGTTGAGTTCTTAAACCTGATTGGATGTATGAAAGAGGCGATTTGTCCCCTGCAGAGCCTGCCAAGACTGCATGCCAACTTTCTAACTCCAAGAGATAATCAGATTGTAGGAAACAAAACACTATTGGTTTCAAAATGAATATACCATACAAATATATATGAAATAACCAGCCTATGAAATAACAATGTTGCATCGATTTTGTATTAAAGATTATTGTAGGATTAATATTATGTAGTTCCCAGTTCTTTGCCACTGGTTCTATTTTTTACATTTATTACTTGTTTATATTTCTTCGATCATGTAGAATGCGAAGTTGACAAGGAAAGCTTGTTGTGCTTAACAGAGAGAGCAGCTGAGCATCTTGTACCTGTGTGCTAGGTCCTCATATGAAATTCTTGAAGGAATTGGAAAAATTAAAAAGGGAGGCTAGTGGCAACAGTGACATTAATGAGAGTAGATGTAGCTCCCTTAGCAGCTAGTGAACTGGAAGTCATATATTTAAATATTTTTGCATTGTCATACACTTTACAGTAGTTAGTATCAGTATGTCTTTTATGCCATGCAATGGGTAAATTTGACCAATGTTCACTGTAAAATGTTGACTAGTTTGGTTGTTCCTCCAGTTGGCTGGTTCCCCTTCCCAATGCTAACTGACTGATGTCAAATATGATTATTGTATATTTTAAACGAGTATTGAATGACGCGGAGCATGATATTAAGAATTATTCAGACTGAAGTCAAGTTAGCGGAAGGCAGATAATATTGCCCACGGTCAATCTCATTCCCCAAGCCTGGGCATCCCATTGTTTCAAGAAACTAAAATGTCTAAGAATGAAAGTCGTCCGTCTTGTTCATGTTCTGTAGTAAAATTTATGTCTGGGTCAATGGAGTTCAGTAAATTATGAAAGGAATCTAATGCATGTTTTTTGATGATTGAGAAAACATCATCAACATACCGAAACCATTTCTTAAGTGGTATAATTGCTTGAGACAAAGCGAGTTCTTCTATAACCTCTAAACAGAGGTTTGCCACAATAGGGCTTACAGGACTGCCCATAGCAAAACTGTGGATTTGTTTGCAGGTCTGCCTGTTGTAGTTAAAAAAGCTGTTAGACAGTGTGAAACATAGAAGCTTAATAATGTCGTCAATAGTTAGGTTTGTTCGTTGTTGTAAGGTAGCGCCTTTCAGTAGTTTGTTGCGAATGTGTTCGCATGTTTTCTCGACAGGGATAGCAGTAAACAGAGAAACAAAGTCAAAAGAAATCATAATTTCACTGTTTTCAATGTTGATGCTGGATAGCCTATGTGCAAAGTCAGTCGAGTTGGTAACAGAATAGCCGTTGTTGTTTTGTAAAGGTGCCAAAATATCTGCTAGATACTTAGATGTGTTATATAATGCTGTGTTCCTACATGTTACTATAGCGCGAAGTGGATTGTTGGGCTTGTGATGTTTGACAGGACCCTGGATGGTTGGTGGAATACCATTAGTTGAGTGTAGTTTTTTGTAGGTGCGTTCACCAAGCTTATGTTGTTGTTTTAATTGTAGTAATTGTGAATTTAACTCACGTTCGATCTTTTTGAAAGGAGGTTTTGCGACTTTTTCATAGGTGTTTCGGTCAATGAGCAATTCTTGCATCTTCTCGTCATAGTCTGTTTTATCCATGACCACAAAACAGTTGCCTTTGTCGGCTTTCATCACAACATGTGTCTTATCTTTCTTCAGTCTGTAGAGTGCTTTGCATTCATTAACCGTGGTGTTTTTGTGTTGGGGAAGATCAGTTTGTCGTATTAAATTTGGTTTCTCGAAACAACGGGACGCTCATCACTAATGTCTACCGTAAGCCTACACACACTGACAAGTACTTAGATTTCAACTCGCATGACAATAAACAACATAAAATTAGCACAGCACAAACTCTCTTACACCGGGCAGCAACACTTCCTAACTCGGTCGAAGGCAAACAACAAGAATGTGAGCATGTTATTAAAGTGTTGACGGCTAATGGGTACCCACAGAAGTTCCTGACAGAAGTGGAAAAGAAACGTGCTTTGAGACAACAAAAAACACCATCACCAGAAGAACTTGTTCGAGAGTTTTTTGAAGGAGTTGATCCCAGTACAAAAGTTGGTTACGCAGTTTTACCATACATCAAAGGCCTAACAGAACCTCTCAAACACCTTCTCAAGCCTTATAACATCCAAGCAACAACATAACCTATACACGCACTTGAACAAATGCTCCTTTCACCGAAAGACAGACCACCATCCGAAGAACAAACAAATGTGATCTATCGCATAAATTGCACCAATTGTTCGTGGAGCTACATTGGTGAGACGGGTCAAGCGTTTATCACACGGGAAAAAAGAACATGTGAAGAATGTCGAGAATACAAAGCAGGTTCAAATATTGCGAATCATGCCTGGCCTTATGACCATAAAATTAATTTTGACAAGGGCAAGATAATCGACAAGGCAAACTACCACCACAGAGCTACATTGGAATCTTGGCACACCGTGCTCACAGCTAACACAGACAATAATTCCAAACATTTACCAGAACAATGCCGTTTTTTATTAAAGAAATAGAACAATTATTATCAGAGTATATATAGGCGGAACTATCACTTCCAGTTATTTGTTTGTCACTGTAATTTGTTAACCGTAGGGCGTATGGTACGATCTGTAATTGTAAACCGTATAGTCATCTGTAATCACTGTATTTTATAACTACCCGTTGAAGGCTGCAGTCTGGCAGCCGAAAGCTCGTGAATAAAAAAATTTTCAACCAGCGAACATCTCAAAAATCATTATGTTCAATCCTGGTCACACTTCCAGCATATTTAAAAATATTTTGATCTGTATCTTAAAAATACAAATCAATGTCTGCATATTAGTATTATATTGGTGGCGAAGTGGTTAGTGCCTTCAAGCCATAGAAATATTAGACATAGAATGCGTGCTCCTATCTCTTCTCAGTAAAAATTTTGTCTCCACAAAATGGCGGATTTATAAGGGCATTTTGGCCAGTCCCAGACCCCTGCGGCAGGAATTTCGCGCGGTTGCCGGGAGTGCGAATTGTTTTTTTCAACAAAGTTTGAAAAAACAATTATATCGAGACTTGAAGTGGAAAAATATTTTTTTAAAACGAGTAAAACCCATTCCCGTGGGTTTTTTTACGAAAAGCAATA